CCTGCCCCTCGCCGGACTGTGCTCCCTGTGCGACGCAGGGCGAGTCACCACGGTGACTGAGGCCGCGCGGGGGGCAGGGAAAGGGAGGTGAGGGCCGCAAGACAGACCCGGATGGGGCCGAGACCCCTGTCGTCCCTGTACATAAAGAGACCGATGGGTGGGAGGGGGTCGGCTGCTCCCCGAGATCCCCCTGGCAGAGTCATTCTTCCAGCCCCACCCCTGAGTTCCTAAAGGGACACCTCCCTCCTGTCCAGCCCTTCAACAGATCTTCTGACTGTTAGATGACACCCGCACCGTGGGCCCCGCGTTGGGTCTTGTCTGAAGGGAGAGGCCCTGGCGTGCGGCTGGGAGATTTAGAGGCTGTGGAGAAGGGAACTTGGGGTTTTCCTTCTTCTGTGGCCTCACTCCCCTGGGGCCTCTCTCTATGGAGGGAGCAGTGGTTTGGTGACCAGCAGGCTGGATTCCAACTAGCTAATGCATTTAGCGGGTCTGAGGCTGGGGCCAGGTGTCAGCCCCAAGCCTCCATCCAACACCGTGGAAATGTTGCTGCCCTCTTCTTGGCGCTGACCCCAAGATTGGGGTTTCCCTTCTGCCGCTCCTTCCGCTGTTGTTTATCTAACTGGGCCCCCACTCCAGGTCCAGAGGAACTGTGCTCACCGCACAGACGGCACTCATCTCCTGCTCCCTGGTCCTGCAGAGCTGTTGCCAGGGTGCAGTGAGGAGGAGAGTGAAATGTGGAGGGCTGTGTACCTCAGTCCTTTCTCTAAACTCTGCAGCCTCCCGGCAGGGGCCTCCTCACCTGGGTTCTGGGTGTGTACTCCCTTTAGAGAGTGTGAGATACACCCGGGCGGCACTTGTTAAAGCTGGCCAGGGCGAGTGACTAAGGGGAGAGAGCATGACATAGACCTGGGTGACAACAGGGACCTCTGGAAGCAGGTGGGAGTAAGAGAGAAGAGGGCAGTGGAGGGTAGAGGAAAGGACTTCCAAAGGTGGGCTGTCTGTGGGGGCGGCCTTTGCCTCCCTAAACCTGTGCAGAGGAGTGGAGCGTGCTTTTCCCTCAAACACATCTCTTGGGGGCTGAGGACGTTGTCACAAGTCCCAACTGGAGAAATAATTCCAATGGCAGGGTCAGAGGCAAGCATTCTCTAAATCTTGCCCAACCCTTCCATCCTCCCCTATCCTATGAGCTGAAGCCCTGCTGTGTGTCCCAGGGTCTTCAAAGGGGCATCCTGCCACCACCCCAGGGTGCTGGCCCCACATCCTGTTCCCCTAAAGCTCTGACACCGCCTTCTCTCCCTGTGCGCACCCCACCACCTCCACCCCAGTGTGCTTCAGTGTGCATGTCTGTGAACAGCCCTCCTGCCCTCCCAACTCCCCTGGCTAAAGTCTCCCCAGCAGATTTAGTGCCCAGGGCTTGAGCTCACATTTCAGGCTAGAGAGGATAACCCTTGGGCCACCCACATCTCTCACCCCTGATCCTGCTTACATTCGCCTGAGCCATCAGAACTCCTCCTTCCCCTCCTTCAGCCCCTGTCATCTTCCTCCAGCCCAGCCAGGCCTGCACCACCAACTGTGTGGCCTCCAGCTATGCAACATCACCTCTGGCTCCCCTTCCCTTCTTCCTAGGGAGAGGGGCCCAAATTGTGGGAAAACCATGGCCCATGGCTTCTAAAGGGTTTAGCTTTACTTTCAGGTAGAGATGGCTGAGTGAGGAGGGAGAAGAGACTAGAGAGAGAGAGGCTTGGGCAGGGGAAACAGCTGCCCACCAGGTTTCCCTGGCAGTAGTGCCCACCTGCCTATCAGCACTGAACCTGCCTGGATCCTGAGTCTGTGCTCCTTGGGGGCCTGGCATTTGGAGCACCCTTCTTTCCTCTGATGGACATCTGTGAGGTACAGGTGGTGAGCTGCGGCCTCAGGCTCCATTTCTTAGCCAGCTGGCACCCGGATGTCATGCTCTGTGTGGGGACAGCCTGGCCACCTCAGGGCTCCAGGGGAGGAGGAACATGGCTCCTCCTTCCTCAGGCCTGTTCCTGAGACAGAGCCTGGTCTCAGAAGAGGGGAAGGGAGACCTCTATTATTATTTTTGCCTGTATTGACCATTTCTGCCTAGGTCGTCTCAGACAGCCTCATCTCCCACACACGCACAGACTTAGAGAGAAACCAATTCTTTGGTCTATTTTCTTGGTAGCTTTATTGATTGCCAGGGAAAACAAAAACCAGAAAATTAATCTCTAAAATTAAACTTTACACTGAATGTTCTTGTTTCTCTAATTAGAACCTCTGCTAGCAGCTGTGGCTATACACACACACACACACACCCTCACACCTACACGTTTGCACTCCGGAACTGTCAGAGGGTGTCAGGCACAGACAGACTCTAGGTTGCCTAGACAGGCATACACATGCAGTCACTCCCAAGCCCCCTTTGGTGCTCTGCTTAGCGTCTGCTTAGTGGAAGGAGTCCCTGGAGAGCAGGCACTCCTGGATTGGGGTTGTAGCCCATGACCTGCCCTTTGGGGACACAGTTCTGGAGGCTCTGGGCCAATCAATCAGCCTGAGGAGGATGGGGAATGGCGCTCAGCCTGAATCAGTCAGCTAGGTCTCTTGTGGCCCTGGGGGCTGATGTGATTCCTGTAGGTGTGGCCCCAGGGTGGACAGCTACAGAGTGATGGGGACTCATGGAGGGCACCTAGAAGGCTCCATGTGGCCTGGGGACAAGGGCTTGTGGGGTGGGCTGGGCCTGGCTGGGGAGAAGACAGGTCTCTGTCAATTGGGTGCATCACACTGTGGCCTTTTTGTCGTGGATTTAAGCGCAAAGATTGTACAAATCAAACTGGTGGATAATAAAGTTGTGGATGACTCACTGACTTCCTGTCCCAGTGTGGCACTTCTTTCCCTCCCTCCCAGGGAAGCTCTCTGGGATGGGTGGCAGGAATCGTGTCATCCTTCCCTAGAAGTCATCATCTACAGCTGCCTCCCCAGAGGAGGCCACCGGGTCTGAGTCCCTGGTGTCATTTCGTTGTCCCCTTCCCAGGTTGGGGGTTGGGGAAATAGGGGATGGAGTGGTCTATAGAACTGGATCACCTAAAGCAGAGTCAAGCAACAGGGAAATGCATCTACAGGGCTGAGGGTGGCAAAGAGAGCCAGACATAGCTCTGCTGTAGCCAGAGCGTGTGTGTGTGTGTGTGTGTGTGCGTGTTTGAAGATCAAGGATCTGTTTGGTAGAGAAGAAAATGGTGGGGAGGGGAGTCAGGGAGGCAGGCAGCCCCCATGGGAGAATCTGGCAGGCACAGTCCCTCAGACACCTCTCTGACTTCCTATTCCTGGAAGAAGTTGGTCATTTGTGGGGGTTCAGTAATATCCTTTCCCTGGGCACAGGGGCTGGGTTCCTACTGCATACCCTTTCTTCCCCCATGCCAGTCTCCCTTTCCTGCCTCATGTCTCCATCCATACAACCCTTGATCACTCCAAGGATATTCACGGTCCCCCTCCCCGCTCCCTCTGAACCAGAGTGATACTCTGCAGCAGGCATGGCAGGGGTATGAAATGAGGGACAGGGCTGGGGCCATAATCCAAGTCAGGTCATTTTATCCCACAGAGTTCTCAGGGCCATTGGCAGTGATGGTTGACATGAAGTGGCTGGGATTCAAGGCCCGCTGGCGGGCTGCTTCTCGGTTTGCATAGAGGGCCTGGCCAATGAGGTACTCGCTTTCCTGGGCCACATCTGACAGGCGCAAGTCAAATTCCAGGAGGGTCTTGTTGTCCGACATGCCTTCCAGGAGCTGCTTCCCACCGTCCTGGGAGAAGGGTGCAAAGGAAGGGGTCATATACATCACTACCCAGGATCTGACATACATACTACACATTTTCATGTAGATGTGACTAAAACATAAAGTTTCACAAAACAATACTTAACCTTTTTGTGACGCATGTTGACATATTCTATTCTTCTCCATTTGCAAAATGGTAGCCAATACCCACTAAATTGATTTCTCAACCCTACTAGCTTGAAAAACATGAATCTCTGGCAATGATGAGAATTCCATTCCTTTGGTTCAGCCATGGGCATGTGGGACAACTCTAATGAGATGCGAGGGGGAAGCTGAGAGGGGGTGGCTTCTGGGAAGGTTCTCCTCACTCCAAAAAGAGAAGAAAAGGGAGCAGGTGTTCTCCTGTTTTCTGCCTCTGGGCATGTCCCTATGTGAGATGTCAGAACTGTGGCAGCCATCTTGGGACCAAGAGAAGCACTAGAGAGGCCTTAGCCACGAGGCTGGGGTGGGCAGAGCAGAGGGTGGCACTGAACCCAGGGGTTTACCAACCCTACAACCCTCTAATTCTGGTTGTGGGAGACACTGAATATTCCTCCTGCTTAAGGCCATTTCTGGTTAAGCTTTTTATTACTTGCAGTCAACAGCACCCCCTCTAGAAAATGTGTGTGTGTGTCTGTGTGTGTGTGTGTGTATGTGAGTGTGTGTGCATGCACACGTGTGTATGTGCCTGTGTAGGTGAGCAAGGTTCTCATGGGGAGGTTTAGCAGAGGGTTCAGTGACCTAACGGAGGGCCCCGCTCAATGGTCATCACAGCTCCAACCCCTGCTGGGTTGGGTGGGCTAGCCCCAATGTGAAAGAATTTCATGTTGGGAGGCAGAATGCCACCATTCTGTGGTTGTGACCCAGCAGTGTGTTGCAAAGTCAATTTAATGGGTCACAGAAGCATTTAAAAATACAATAGAGTAGAATGTAAAGGAAAATATCAGCATATATCACAAGTCATAAATTTCAAAATTATGTTTATGTTGGTGTTCATGTAAATTGCATTTTTTTTTTTTTTTTTGAGATGGAGTCTTGCACTGTCACCCAAGCTGGAGTGCAGTGGCATGATCTTAGCTCACTGCAGTCTCCGCCTCCTGGGTTCAAGCAGTTCTCCTGCCTCAGCCTCCCGAGTAGCTGGGGTTACAGGTGCATGCCACCACACTGGGCTAATTGTTGTATTTTTAGTAGAGATGGGGTTTCACCATGTTGGCCAGGCTGGTCTCAAACTCCTGGCCTCATGTGATCCACCCACCTCAGCCTCCCAAAGGGTTGAGATTATACGCGTGAACCACTGTGCCTGGTCATAAGTTGCATTTCTTACTCTCAGACTTGGTTAGGAAAGTTTGAGAGACACAGTCTATTAGAAAGGACTCAGGCTTTCAATCAATCTTGGATTTGAACCACAGCCTTGCCACTTTCTACTGACTTGATGCCCTTGGGCAATTCATAATCCTCTCTGAGACTTAGTGTTCCATCTAGAAAGTAGGGTTAAATATACTTAGTTATATACTTAAATATATTTAGAGTTAAATACGCTTAGGGTTAATATACGGTTACTTAGGTAACTGTAAGGATTAAAGGAAAAATAATCACTGGGATACACAGTATTTGTGCATACTCAATGCAGTATGTAGTATGTAAAGTCTGTGATCTTCACAATTATCCCACAAGTACTCCTGGCAGTTGGATTCCACACCCACCCTCACAAGCCCAGAGTAGGTGGCTCACCAGCCCGATGTGGTTGCAGGACAGGTTGATGCTGGTGAGTGTGGTGTTGATGGCGAGCACCTGCGACAGGAGTGTGGCGGTGGGTTCAGACAGCTCATTGCCACCGAGGTGCAGTGTGGTGAGGCACTTGTTGGTCTGCAAGGCATGGGCAAGAGCCTGGCCACCCTCATCCTCGATGCAGTTGAGACGTAGGTTGAGGGAAATGAGGTTGGTGTTGTGTGCCAGAGCATGAGCCAGCGACTGGGCACCAGGCGCACGCACCTGGTTGTTGGCCAGGTTGAGCACACGCAGGCGGCTGTGGCTCAGCAGCTTGGCAGCACCTCGTGCACCACGGTCCCCAATGAGGTTGTGTGACAAGTCCAGCTCCTCAAGGACTGGGTGGTCCAGAAGACTTCGAATTATGATGCGTGCTTTGTCATCATCCACCTTGCTTCGGGTCAGCTTGAAGATCTGTGGGCAGGCAGAGGGTCTATGGCACCTGCCAGCCAGGGATAATCAGCCTGCCCACCTAGATCTTTGGCAAACTTGGCTCACCTAGTGTTGGCCACCTGGCTAGGTCATGGAGGGGGCCAGGCCTACCAGCATGGCAGAGTAGTGTAGAATTGGTGGCAGGGAGCAGGGAGGAAAGATCACTGTTTATTGAGCAATTACTACATGCTTGGCTCTTTCTTTTTTCTTTCTTTTTCTTTTTTTTTTTTTTTGATGGAGTCTCGCTCTGTCACCTAGGCTGGAGTGCAGTGGCACGATCTCGGCTCACTGCAAGCTCCGCCTTGCGGGTTCACACCATTCTCCTGCCTCAGCCTCCCGAGTAGCTGGGACTACAGGCGCCCGCCACCACACCTGGCTAATTTTTTGTATTTTTAGTAGAGACGGGGTTTTACCGTGTTAGCCAGGATGGTCTTGATCTCCTGACCTCGTGATCCACCTGCCTCAGCCTCCCACAACGCTGGGATTACAGGCACGAGCCACTACGCCCGGCCGCTTGGGTCTTTCATAACCATTATCTCTAACCTTCAGCATCTCAGTGAAGAAGAGAAAGTTCTCTCCATTTTGCAGATAGAAAATGGAGGTTTACATTATTTCCCAAGAGTAATACAGTGATTGAAGCAGTGGAGACAGGTTTGGAATCCAAGCCTGCTTGAGGCCTCAGCCGCTCACTGCATCCTCCTCTGCCAGCCAAGATCCACCAGGGCAAGGAGAGGACCTCTTTGAAGGAGGTTGCCAGGGCAAGAACCAGGGAGAAAGTGGGGAAGTGGAGAAGCAGGAAAAGGATGAGATAAAGGAATGAAGGAAAGGGGATGGGGCTGGCAGTATGAATACTGTCCATGGGAGCCTCTCCCCCTCACCTTCCTGCTGGCTTGTCCTGCTCCTCTCTCTCCCTTGAGACCTCTGAGTGTCTGACCTCTCTCTCCCTACCCTTCAGTTCACTCCTCTTTATGCTCCTCTTACCCAGCTGAGTCTTTTGTGTCTCTTCTCTTTTCATTGCATCTCTCTGGCAAAGCCCTACCCTGGATCAGCCCCACTCTCTATTTTCTGCATGCCTGTGCGCAAGCAACTGACAAAATAGAAAACATCAGCTGACGGGACTGGTTGCTATCACTGGAACCACCAATAGGCTTGTAACGCTGCATGCCAATCTAACTATATTTCTCTGGCCAAAATACCTGCCTATAATCTACAACAACTATTTCAGCTTTTTGCAGCCTCCTCATAATTCAGGGGCCTCCTTGCTGAGCTCCCTCTTTCAGCAGGTGAACTCTCCTCTTGCCTTCCCAGCCATTGAATGGGAACCTGTCATTTTCCTGATACCAAGCACTGACTTATTGGTCTATGAACCCGTGCCTCTCTTCTACATTCATCCCCTTTCTTGCAACTGGATGGAACCTTACACTGGTTTTAAACATGTGTGAGTTATTCTGAAGGAACCCAAAGCTCTCATCTGTTATGGCTGTACCTTTCCCCCTTCACAGCCAAGTTCTTGAAAGAGCTGATCACAGCTACCCATTCCTCACATCCCACTCTCCCCAGACACCACTGCTATCTGGCCTCTGTTCCTGCCACTCCACTGAAATAGCTCCCCCTCGGTGACCTCCACGTTCACTAAATCCAGTCCTCAGCTCTATTCCACTCCGTTGCTCACTCCCTCTACTTGAAACATACCCCTCCCTTGCTCTGTGACACAATGCCATGTCCCGCATTTCCTCCTCCCTCTGGCTTCCTGGCAAGCTCTTCTTCCACTGAGACCACATGCCAGGCCTCTCCTTGTCTTGCTTTTGGCTCTCCCCTGTGAGACTCCATCCAAATCCAGGGCTGCAACTGCCACCTTCATGAAGACGGCATACATTTCCACATTCAACTCAGACCTCTCATCTGAGCTTCGGACCCTCTACCCGACTAACAAAATGACCCCTTCTTTGAGATGCCTCTAACTGAAACTTACACTCTTCCCCCTCAAAACCGATCCTCTTCCCACATTCCCTGTCTCTGCAAATGGCCCCTCCAGCCATCCAGCCTCACAAGCCAGACGTCTTGCACCTCACCTCCTTCTCCTTCCTTCTCCTTCAGATCCTCCCTATGCCAGTGTGGCCCGTGCATGCCAGACACATGTCTGCCTAAATATGTCTTGACTCTCTCCACTCCTCTGAGACTCCACAGACACTACCCTCGCTGAAATGACCCTCACCCTCACCTGGATTTGGCAATGATCTCCTAGGTAATCTGCACGTCCACTGCTGCCCTGCCCAGGCCATCATCCCTCACAGACGGAGTGACCTTTTCACGTGTGAAATCCAGTAATGGTACCTACCTTTTTGCCTAAAACACTTGGATGGTGTCCCAGAGCTCCTAAGGATAAAGACAGCCTCCTGGACAAGGCCTCCTTTACCCAGCAAGGCTGACCACCTCATACTCTGTGCCAGCCACACAGTCTTCTCTTTCTCTTTGAGCTGGCCATGTTCACTCTGCCCATAGAGCCTGTATGCACTGCTTCCTCTGCCTGGAATGTTCCTCCCTCTGAGACTATAACTCCTACTCCTCCTTCTAATCTCTATGTAAGTGACATTTGTTCAGGGAAGCCTTCCCCTGCAAGGTCAAATGCTCCTTTATAATCTCTCATAAGAGTATCTCTTCTTTATGGCATTCATCCCAATTCAGGGGTACCAGAAAAAAGTACAGGATGCCCAGTTAAATATAAATTTCAGATAAATAAGAATGCCTCATGGAATATTCAGGACATATACTAAAAATTATTTGCTCTTTATCTGAAATTCAATTTTTTTGGAGACGGTCTCATTTTGTAATCCAGGCTGGAGTGCAGTGGTGTGATTGCAGGTCACTGCAGGCTTGAACTCCTAGGCTCAAGGCATTCTCCTACCTCAGCCTCCTCAGTCGCTGGAAGACTACAGGTGTGAGCCACCGTGCCTGGACCTGAAATTCACATTTAACTGGATGTCCTGTATTTCCATTTGCTAAATCTGGCAACTCGATTCTAGTATCAATTTTATGTTTATATGATTGATGATTAGTGCCTTTATCCCATCAAGAGAGTTAGCTACAGAGGGCACAAATGGCACAATCTTGCTCATCCTTGAATCTTCAGCACCTAGGACAGGGCCTGGAGTGCATATGTTTGTTCAATGAAACAAACTGGTGAACTGGAAGAGCAGCACCTTGTTCATCTCTACACCCCCAGAACTGTGTATCTTGGTGCAGGGTGCATTAAAAACACTTGGCCAATGAAAGAGAAGGAAATGGGAAGAAGGTAACAATAGAGGAGGAAGAGGAGGCGAGAGGGAATCTGAGAGATGCGGAGGAGGGGTTGGGGGAAGGCTGGGAGCAGACAGTACCTTGAGGGTGTGGCACGCCTTGATGGCGGCTGCCAAGGAGTGGCAGTCGCGGTAGGTGAAGAGGAAGAGATTCCACTCGAAATTCATGCCGCAGTCCTTGACATCGTACACCAGGTCCAGCTCCTCCAGGTGGCTCAGGCCAGCTACCAGATCGCCCAGTTGATAGTGGTCAACGGTGGGCTCCTCCATCTCTCCCTCGCTGCCTGAGTCCGACTGGTCGCCTGGCTGGAGCTGGGCCGGGAGCTGCACCGGCGGAAGGAACTGATCGACGTGGACCCTGCGCACATAATTCCTGCAGAGGGGCAGCAGGTCGAGGATCACCGCGGGGTCCGTGGTGCCTGGGATAAAGTGCTTTAGCAGGTTCTCCAGGTGCCGCTCGAAGAACATGCGTTTCCAGCTGCCGCCATGGTGGGCCACGTGGCACACGGGCCAGCGCTGCATGCAGCAGCGGAGCCAGTAGTTCTCATTGTCTATCAGGTTGGCGGTCACAGCCAGTGGTAGGTCAGGGGACAGGTGGTTCAGGACCTTCTGCTGGTGTTCCGGGAGCATCTGCTTCAGGATAGGGTTATCTTTGGGAACAGAGGAACGAAAGCATGGGGTCACAGTGTTGGGGGACACCTCAACATGATGCCTCAGGCTGGGCCTGCCTGGGAGCACCAGGCAAAGGGAAGACCCTTCCCTGCCTAGGGGATAGACAGCCTCTCCTCTCAGGGGGGATCAGGGGGAGGGTGGGACACCAGCCTTTAGCTTTGGGATGTTCCCTGCCTGAAGGGGGACATCTCAGCATCTGTTCTCAGGGAGCTCTCAGACTGAGGAAGGCTCTCAGGTCCAACTCTCAATTATCACCTGGTCTGATGGGGAATACAATTCCTGAGGTCAGAGGCTTCCAATCTTATTTGATTCATCCATTTCAAAACAAGAAATTTTTTGAGCACCTACTATGTGCCAGAAACTGGAGGTACCACTATGAGAGACTACTATGTCCCACGTGCTGGAGATATAAGAGTAAGCAAAACAGGGTTCTTCCCTTTTGGAGTTTACATTCCAGTGAGGGGAGGCTGACAATAAACAAGTAAAATGAGTGAGACTGGGTGACAATAGTTGCTGGAGATGAAATAATGGCCCTGTCCTCAGACAGCGCTCCATCTGGTAGGAGAGGCTGGCAACCCATCTTTGAAAAGGATCCATATTACAGAGCACAAAATACGGAACAAACCAAGAGACCTTACATGGCATGGAAGACTCCATCAGAGTGGAGGGTGGTTCACTTGGGAAGGCTTTCTGGAGAAGGAAGTAGATATGGCTCAGGCTGAGTTTTGTTGGAGAGAGTGGAAAAGGCAAGGAGAGGGCAGAGGCATGGAGGGTGCAGTGTGGGTGGGAGCCTGGTGGGATCTGCCAGTGGGAACAGAAGGAGAAACTACCTTGGCCCTGGGTGGAAGGGAAGTGTTGAGTAGGTATGAGGATGCCATACGGGAGAGCAGGGGCTGCCCCAGGATCCAGGTTCTGCAGTCTTGGCTCCAGAGGGTCCTCACCCACCTTGCCCCACTCTTGGCCTTCTTCTTCCCACCCAAAGCAGGGACAGACTCACTCTGGAAGTTCCTGATGATGTGCTGAATGCAGAGCTCTGTGAGGAGGGGCACGATGGCCAGTGACCACTCAGGATCCTCAGCAATGATCCGGCGCATCCGATGGAAATTGGCCCCAGGATGTGGGTTCCTGGACTTTGCAGAGACTGGTGTGATTGAAGGCTTTGAGGGCTGTGGGCCTGTGCTTGAAGTGTGTCCGCCAGTGGAGGACTTGTCCTGGGTGGAGACTGAGGAGTGGCTGGGGTCCAACAATGCTGATGTTGTTACGGTATCCTGCATGCTGGAGGCTGGTAATGTAGGGGCGGGTGGCCCCTGGATGGCCTTATGACAAGAAACTTCTCAGACTGGCAGGTCCTTGATACAGGTAGGGATCTGGAGCAAAAGGAAGAGGTAGTGGTGTTACTTTGGAGGGTCTTGGTGGGCATTTACTAAGAGAGGTGGTACAGAATAGTGCTTAAGGATCAGTCCCTGGAGTGAAGCAGATCCAGGTACACATCCACTGGTTATCTGTGTGACCTCGGGCAAGTTACTGAACCTCTCTGAATTTCAGATGCTGCCTCTTAGAAATGAAGGTCGCAGTTCCAGTAGGATTATTTGGAGGAGTGGATAAAATAATGCATCCAAAGGGCATAATATATTATCTGACACATGAAACTAGCAAGGAGCAGCCCAAAATTTTAGATAATAGCTCTATAGCAATTACAGTAATTGCTCTGTGCCAGACAATCTTTTTAGTTCTTTATGCCTATTAATTCATGTGTCCTCAGAAAAACCTTTTTCAGAAAAGCCTTTTTCAGATAGGCACTTGTATTATTCCCATTTTTCTGCTGGGAAACTAAAGCACAGAGAGGCGAATTGACTTGCCCAATGTCATGCAGCTTAGAAATATTACGGGTGGGTTTAAATTCAGTCTGTCAAATTCATGCTCTGAATCCTACATTGGACTGGCCCTCTGAGGGTGAGGGGTGTATATTGCCAAAAGACAGGTATAATAAAGAGCCATTCAACTCAAAACAGGACCCTGCACTAAGTATTTTATAGAACAGCAACTGCCTGATCCGTAGGATGGGGTTGAGAACAGCTCTGGCCAACAGAAATATAATGCAAGCCAAAATGCAAGCCACATATGCTATTTTAATTTCTTTAGTGCCCACATTTTAAAAAGTAAGGAGAAACAAGGCTGGGCGTGGTGGCTCATGCCTGTAATCCCAGCACTTTGGGAGGCCAAGGTGGGTGGGTCACTTGAGGTCAGGAATTCGAGACCAGCCTGGCCAACATGGTGAAATCCCATGTCTACTAAAAATACACAAATTAGCCGGGCATGGTGGTAGGCGCCTGTAGTCCCAGCTACTCGGAAGGCTGAGGCATGAGAATCACTTAAACCTGGAGGGCAGAGGTTGCAGTGAGCCAAGATTGCGCTACTGCACTCCAGCCTGGGTGATAGAGCAAAACTCTGTCTCAAAAAAAAAAAGTAAAGAGAAACAGGTGACATTAGTAGTTTTTTTTTTTTTT